TGGGAGCTTACTTCTCTCCAAAACTTCAGAAGATGATTGGAAATTTGTGAGAGATAGTGAGATGTGGAAATTAGTGCAAGAGGAAAAAAACATTTTTCCTGTTTTGAAATTGAGTTATGATCAATTGCCTCCATATTTAAAGCCATGTTTTGCTTATCTTTCAATATTTCCGAAGGATTATGAATTTAATGATGTGGAGGTGATCCTTTTTTGGATGGCTCATGATTTGCTTCATTCCTCCAATGAAAATGAAGATTCAGAAGAAATTGGTAGGCGTTATTTGAATAACCTATCATCAAGATCTTTTTTCCAAGATTTTGATCAAAGTTTGTCTATACAGTCTTTTAAAATGCATGATCTTTTACATGATCTTGCATTATCAATGGCAAAGAATGAGTGCTCTGTGGTAAACTCTTTCAAGCAGACTATTGTTCCAGGAATTCGACATTTGTGCCTGGACAATTTTGATTTTTTTGAGAACTCTTCTAGCTTTCTGGATATTGATAAGTTATGTCATGTACGTACATTCCATCTTAAAAATATGAAGGAAGGTCCTAACAGTGAATCATTTATAAAGAAATGTCTTCCAAGGTTCCAGAAGTTACGAGTACTAGATCTAGAAGGATCTAATTTTGAGGTACTACCCAAAAGGTTTGGCAGATTGAAGCATTTAAGGTATCTCAACCTAAATGACAACTTCAAAATCAAGAAACTTCCAAATTTTATATGTAAGTTACCATGTTTGCAAACTTTGCTTCTTACTTGTGGTGGAATTGAAGAGTTGCCCAAAAATATGAGATATATGATCAGTCTTAGACTGTTAATGATAAGTACAGAGCAGAAGTCTCTATCTAAGAATGGACTTGAGAATTTGAAATCTCTTCGACATTTGATGATCAGTAATTGTGAAAATTTAGAATATTTGTTTGATGGGATTCAAAACCTTAAATCCCTTCATACATTGGCAATCGCTAATTGCGAGAACTTGATCTCACTGCCGCAGGGTTTTGAAGCCTTGACCACGTTAAAAGTTCTGATAATTGTGGATTGTGAAAAGCTCCATCTTAATATGACGTTGAGATCCGAAGGGAGAGGCAATGAAGTTGAGAGTCAAGACTACCACATGGGCAGTCGGTTACGCCTTCAAACGTTAGGCATCGGAGGGTTACCAAAGTTGGAGGCACTACCCCAATGGCTTCTTGTGGGATCTGCCAACACTTTGCAGTTCCTGATACTTGAAGAATGTGAAAATCTGAAAACATTTCCAGAGAGACAGAATCTCACATCACTTGAAAGGTTGGGAATTACGGACTGCCCAAATTTGTCATCACTGCCAGAGCGGATGCAATGCCTCAAAGATTGGAGATTGAAAGATGTCCGATTTTGAGCGAAAGATACAAACCAGAAAGCGGAGAGGATTGGGCCAAGATTTCTCATGCATCTCGTATACTTATTGATCGCCTTGAAATCACATCAAACAAGTGAGCAGCCTCACGACGATTAACTAGGTAACAACTATTTTTTCCATCTTTTTTTTTTTTTCTACAATTTTCTTTCTTTCCTCCATTTATATATCAACCAATAAAACACGATTCTTTTGTTTATTTTTTTTTATAAAGCTTGTCAGAGAAATGATGCAGCAATTGATTTTAGTTGGTGGTCCAGAAATCAGTATTTAAGATTTCTCTTTCTTTAGCCAAGCAATATTTAACACTAATATGATCAACTGAGTAGTAGCAATGTGTTACTATTTCCAAAGGAATTACCAAACAGAATAAAGCAATCTAAACTTTGGAAGATAAGTGGCAGTTGTTTATTTTTATTTTCTTTTTTTTTCAAAACAAAAAGTTAATTTAATATGTCCCATTCCCTTTTTTTTTTGTTGTTTTTGGACATTTATTATAGACATTTTAGTTTTTATAGAAATAAAGCAATAAACTGTGTATAGATACAAACATAGAATATACTTTAAAAAGAAAAAAAACTTATTGTTTTACATCTTAATTTTAATAAAAATTGTTGGTGAATTTAACATTCTTCATAATTTTACCCAATTTGGTGTTTGGGGAATGGCAGGGCACGTCTGCATGTAATGGTATTGGATTGGGCATTTCTTGGTGGCTGGTCCAAAGTACTCTTCATGTAATCCCTGAAGATCCCTCCATGGCCATTCCTTCGTTTTGTAATTTCCTTTAGTTTTGTTCGCTGTTGGTTTGTTGCCTCGGGTTTGCCTCTTCTTTCTTTGGATTTAAGGCCCATTATTGTTCACTTTTGTTTTTTATTGTTAAAACTTTATTTTGTGTATTTACTTCTTATTTGATAATTTCATTATCTTTTTTAATATGCAACCATATTACTTATTACAAGTTTGATTTTACTCTAATAATTTTTATTTTATTTTTTCACGTTTCTAATACAATTAAACTCATCCTTTAAATATCTAAGACTCAATTATGAGTTGTGAACCCAATTTACATATGTAAATGAAATATTCTTAAATATTTATTAATAACTATGATTTTTCCCTGTTATGAAAATAGGTCCCTCATGAATTGACTTCAGCACTAGGTCTCTTGACCTTTTGTCGTAATGAAAGAGCAAAGAAGGTTCATTAATGAAATAGAGATATTTTTCTACTACCTGGAACAAAGACTTTGAAGAGGTGGAACAATTCAAAGCTATCATTAATGACTTAGGGCTACCACATTTTTTGTCTATAAGTTTGCTAGTCACTCTCTCACATTAATTCATCAGACCTAATTTCTCTTACCTATATTTACAGTTATTCACTCATTCTATGATTTTACTTTTGCTGTTTCAACCAGTAAAATTGAAAGAATATTTCAATTATTTTTTTTATTTGAATTCTTTGAAGATATTCATACACGTGCTTTTGATTGTTAATCATATGTTAAGGATGTGACCAAAAACAAATACATAGTAATTATTCATATAAAAGAAAAGATTTTCATTAATTAGGTATTGAAGTAAACAGTGGATCTTTTACATACTTGATACTCGCTTTGATAGGTTTCAAATAGAACTTAGCAAATACTTACATATATTGTCTAGAATAATGATGATATTTCCATTTAAACTTACTAATTACATTATCATTTTTTTATTGATTCATTTTAACTCCCACTTGTGACGCATCTAGAACAATTAGTCCATTTTTGTTGATTGAAGCCCGTTAAAGTTTTGGCCCATCAAATCCAAACACAGCTTCGCAGCACAAAATTCATTCTCCTTCTTTTCTTTTTTTTTTTGTTTTTTTTTTATTTATATGATGCAAGTTGTATAGCAAATTGTTGTATTTTAGTATTTAATTAATATGAGGTTTG